AAGCGTAGAGAAAAATCGGATTCGAGATAGTTTAGCGATGTAAATGAATTTATGAATCTACAAGGGACATTTAAAAGTTCTGTTAACTGTTTGATAAAATGTAAACTTTCGTGAGTGTTTACTTGGAAAATAAAATAGAAAATATCCAATGGATGTAAATGTACTGACTCACAATTAAGCATGTTCGTAATTAACACCTCATTGTCACCAGTATAATACACACTTGACACTCCAAAGGATGCGCCGTGGCATACTGCATGTTTGTTTATCAATTAGCAGTTTAATTATATGTCTTCTCATTCCTTGATTATAGTCAAAATGCTCATGGAAGGTTTTTTATAATCTAAAAAAAAAAATTGATCGCATATTCGATTATTTTTTTCAACCAATATTTTATTTAAGTCGCAATTTGGAAATATAATATATTTCGTAATGAAATTTTGCTCGGCCGAGGTGTCTTATAGATGGGCCGACCTGTCTTAAATCTTGGGCCGACCTGTCTGAGCCGAGGTGTCATTGGGCCGAGATGTCAATGGGCCGAGGTGTCGTTGGGCCGAGGTGTCTGACATTCAGACGGACAGACAGACAGACGGACGCCGGACAAAAAGTGATCAGAAAACCTCACTTGAGCCTTTGGCTCAGGTGTGCTAAAAATTGTCTTGCCAACCATTATGTTATTATATTCTATGCAATAAGCGAAAAACTGAATGCTTTGTAAAACATATTCTATTCTAACTGGTAAGGGTTACAGTAAAAATTGTCTAATCTGGATGTTGTGTATTCCACAATTTGTTTTAATATGATATAATTTTCAGGTTCATATTAATTAATTCAATCGATAAAAATATTTTCTACTCCAGAATGTTGTCTAATCCAGCCAATTTATATGGAATCAGTGGAGTCTGGATTAGGCTTGTTTCACTGTATATCTGGAACACTGACATATCCATGCAAAATGAATCCCACAACAATATACTGAATTCAAATTTCAAGCTTAATATCTTGAATGCGAAAAACTTCCCATTTGCTTAAGATTTGACTGTAAGTGTAATATACTAATGTCCTCTAGGTTTCTTACTTGGACCTTTGAGTCTGAGGGTCACTGCAGTAGATTCCTTTCTGTCTTTCCTACACTGCGCCTCCTCTGCGGCGATTTTAACGGAATATTTGTATATCTTGTACAGGCGTTCACAAAGAATTTGATGGAGGTGGAAAAAAAGATACCAGTTATTGTTGACAAAGAACAGAGAATAAACATCATTCTGATTTTTTTTTTAAAAAGTTAGGTTCAAGAAAAAGTTGCAACTACATGTATGTGCATGTATTAAATAAGAAACCATTTGAATACAACCTATAACATTACTGAAATGACATTACTGGTGGGAATTTACCAAATTCTGCCTGTACATCCTCCTGCTTCTGGAACAGCTCGGCCACCTGAGAGTAGACTTCAGCCTCGTTAGGGGCTTAAAACCAAGAAACACGATTTGAACGTCACAAAACATTTCAGTGACCAATCAGTTTTACATTGTCTGTGTTACAAGTCTACTGCCACAAAAGTTTTCATTCTTAGTCTGGTATGGTCTGGCAGTATTTAGACCAGGTAAGTATAAACGTCCCTCTATGGACAAGATGTTCCCCAAACAGCTCCCCCACTCCCTTATGGTGCCACATTCCCAAACTTAATTAAAATTAGGCAATACTTTTGTATTATAGATGCACACTTTATTTTCCAGACTATTTTAGCGGATAACTACTCCAATACAACCGCACAGGTATTAGCCAATCAAATTTCAGTGCATGTGCTTGCATATGTTTTCTAGATTTTTCCACATATATTTTCTTTAAGAATCTCACAATATTTACCTACTTTAAAATATCAAAGACTTTCATTAATAATAAGCAAGATATAGGTATTAGCTAATCAGAATTCAGCACAGATTGCATGCATGTCTTTGCATTCAGATTTGACAATAGCATAATGTAAGGACACACTACACTTAAAGATCTACATTCTAAATTTTGTCCTTTTTTCAAAACTAAGAAAGTTATAGCCACTTAAGTTTCAACCAATCAAATTGCACCACACGGACATGAGCACATTTTCAAGAATTCTACATATTTTTTGTAGAACTTTATAATATATGCCCATACTTTAAATTCCGTTGTATTTCGTCAAAAAAGATTTTTTTCTCAGCCAATCAGAGTGAAGAGCACGTGCATAATCTACTATTTTTGCTAATTTCCTTACATCACCTCGATTACACCACTAATTGAAGTTAATATACTGATGTTCAAAGCATATCATAAAAAAAAGGAAAGTAAATGCTGTTTCAATTATACCAGTCATCACGTGCAAGCAAAATGACCTTTGTTCCGCATGCCTGTTAACCCTAAAAGGTTCCATGTCAAATGGATGACACTCGTGGACACAGAAGTTTTCAAAAAGAAAGTGAAAGCAATATATTCCATAACTTCGTTTTGGGAACATATTTGAAATAACAGCTATTTTCAGAAGAATGGCTGAAAGTAAAAGTACAAAAGAAGACAACAATTTTGGACTTATTACTTTTAATACACTTTTTCTACACTAAACATACACAAAGTGAAATTAGATGACAAACAAAGTGAAAGTAAATGACCACGTTAAGGTAGATGAGAAGGCAGCATCAGTTTGACCAAAAGAGAAATTCATGAACAAAAGTGTTACAATGTAATTAATAATAATTGTAATATATAATAACATTACCTTTTACAATCTGTTTGCTCAGTATGGAAAATTCAATGACACACATATTAAATTGCAATATATAATAAAAATGTAATACTAGAATCTTAAAAGTTGCATTTCTTAAATTTACATTGCAATTCTGAGGTTGATGACTATTTACAAGCAATTATTTTACAATAATAAGAGTTATATGTCATATTCCAGTCATATAATTACAGTCCCAGACATTACATGTAATAATGTAATTGTCATGCAGTCTCTATTCACAAATTGAAGATTTTACTTTACATAGACCATGTAAAAAATGATTAAAAATAATTAACAGTGAAAATAAAAATTTGTGGATCATATAACCACACCCATATGGAGACAAATTTCACCTGTTTTGAATTTTAAATGATGAGTTATACATTTTTTGCAATTGTCAATAGGGCTCTGATTTAATGCTTTTTACATACCTCGTAAATATATGGACAGAAACAAAACTTCGATTTTGCGTGTAGCGAATCTTCTCAAAATATGATCACTCACGGATAACATGAATAAATATACAATGTTTCTACGCATTATGCAAAGTCAGAGAAAATGCTGACTTCGAAATAAAGAATATTACACTGATATTAAATGTAATCGAATTTGTAACACAGTGTCACTTCAACAGTTGATGTTACAATATTTTATGAGATTAAGATATATTTTACTTCCCAGTGACGGAGTACATGATAGATGATGGTCTCAAAGATGTAACGTAATGAAAATATACAAACGTGAATTATAACTCAGTCCTTTTACAATAACAAACAAACTTTACTGGGGGATTAGGTATTTTTCTACATAATAAAATTTACCTTCCTGAATAAAAAAAAGTATATATATCTACAGATTGTTCAACTTAACACAGAAGTATATACATTAAAAATCTTATCTACAACTTCATTTTTAAAATCATATATTAAATCTCTTGTTTCAGGTACATTAACGTATAATCAATCAGACTGCAATTTTTTTACCAAGGCAAATGCCTGCATGTTGACATGAAATATACAGGGTGGTGTAAATTAATTATAAAAATCCCCATGATCAAATGACATGCAACCTTTAAGAAATGAAATTCAGCATTGTTTGAAAGTGTCAACCTATATAAATAATGACAATTAGTTGAATGCACTATCTCTTTAAATACATCATACAACGCCTATAAAAAGAGAGTTGTTTAAATGCATTCATTCTACCGTGTTTAAATGCATCAGTTTAGTTTCTTCCTATAGTTAACTTAAGATAATATTAAGCAAGTACTTGTTGAAACTTAGGTTATTATCTATAGATTCATTGGTAACCTCCTTAACTAGTGGCCTATTTCACTGGCTCAACTGGTTCCCTTGCCTCACTTTTGGTCTCGTATTCATATTCCACTTTGTATTTGTTAAAGATGAAGTAGCGCGTGGCATCCTCGGCATCGCAAGATTCCTTGGTGGTGGTACACGCTACCAGATCCTCGGTGCGTCCCATCAACCAATCCTCACTGGCCGACTTTTGATTCTCCGTTAGATTTTCCTCCCGCCAGCGATTTATCCAAGTGGAGAATTTGTCATGCAGCTTCAGGGACACTATCTTGTGCGACTGTAGTGACAAATACAAAAACTTTGAAAATCATAAAGTAATTGAAAATGTCTGAAATAAAGTTGCCAAAATATCTTGCATATCATGGCTATTACAAAATGATGTCAACTATCCTAAAAGAACAACTTAATTTTTAGGGGAAAAAGATTACACACAGACAGAATGATGCTTGAGAAACTTCTATCAGAATAGTTCACATAAACTTAAGGGCTCATAAATGTCACAGGTGGTAAAAAGTCAAGTCTCAACCTGGAATGGAACCCAGGGCCTCTGGCTTACGTGCCCGAGCTCTAACCACTGATCTAACGAAACCTGGTTTCAGGGGCATAAAACTTGAACCAGCTAACCTTCGATCTCTGTCTCACTTTTACAAAAGGAATACATACTGAAAAAGTCAGACTGAGATCAAAAGTGATCTCATCTAAGTTTTATGACTTGGAGCTTGACATATTGACAGACTCTCACTCACCTGTGAACCCTTTGACATAAACAATACAGAATTTTAAACCGTTCGTGACTTTTGTGCACTTACCCCCCTGCCTTGGTGAGTGCTGAACGTTTGTATAAGTAATACTCGCTATACACGATTTTGAATGAGTTGACATTAAATTTACACTCAGTGTTGTCCACATCCTCCGTGGATTGCTTAGGGACCCGGGGATTTCCTCCGTCTCAGTGTCAGACCGAGATTTCTGATTCTTCTAGTGAAGTCACCATTGTCTCACATTTCTATAGCAGATTTAACTTTAACACCTTCACCCATCTCTTAATTTAATGAAAATCATGCACATGTGCATGTATTAACAGGGTAGTAAAACAATATCTAGATAAGATAAAATAGACTTTAAAGAGAAACTAGCCCGTTCTTCCAAGGCCTGGCTACATCACCTTAACCTCTGACCTTGAGTCAAGGTCATGACACACTTTTAATTCATTAACAACAACGCAGATGAATACAAATTTAAGTCCTCATAAACACATGCTCAAGTCTGAGTTCATTCTAATCCAGGGTTCAAAAGTAACACCGTGTATTTTGCAGTTACTATTTCAAAATCTCATTGATCAGTGACCTTTAAAATATGACTTTGAGTTAGGAAGAAAGATTACCTGAGTAAAAAGAACTACCTGGTTGTGAAAAAATTACCAGGGTAAGAATATGGGTTTGTGGTTAAGGTGTTCCATCAGGTCTTCTGACACTGTGTCATTCATGGAGACGTACTTCTCCACATATTCAGATCAACGCTCCACTTCTATTGGATCATCAGACTGCTTGTGGTCAGTGTGTAGGAGTTCATAGGTCAACTTACACTCTTTCTTGAACTGTTGAAGAACAATTAAGACCTCTTTCTTTTTACATTTCTTGAATTACTTATGGTTACAAAGTAGCAGATAGGAAACTTACAAATCCAATAGCTTTAAAATATTCTTATTCTTCAAAATCTTTATGTACATCGTAGATGAAACTGAACATTTTAGTTTCGTGAGGAATTTATTATTTTACTTCAAATAATGAAAAATGAGCTAAATTCTTTCTTATTTTACAGGCAAATTCATCCAAATTTTAGGAATAGCTTCTTTAAAGATACCTGCAAATAACTGTATTTTGAAATACTTCTCACCCTTCTTTTTCTCCCCCGCCCCCTTTTGCTCTTTCTTCTATTACAGGTACTTACAATGACCACTTTGAAACAGTTTTCCTCACTGAGACACTGTTCGGCCTTTATCTGGTAGGCGCCATCCTTTGTCTGACCGCTGATGGACACTGGCCACCCGTCCCCCTGTAGCATTGTTCTTGTGTTCCTCCTAATACAGCTCAATGATCTTTACGCAAACCTCATCCTGAATAATGTGCTGCATCTACAAATACAGACAGTGATAATCTTATTGTGCTGCATCTACAAATACACACAGTGATAGTCGTATTGTTCTGCATCTACAAACTCAGATAGTGATAATCTTACTGTGCTGCATCTACAAACACAGACAGAGATACATTTTTGTGCTGCATCTACAAATATAGACAGTGATACTTTTTTTGAGCTGCATCTACAAATATAGACAGTGATATTCTTATTTTACTGCATCTACAAATTTTAATACAGACATGATACTCTTATTTAACAATCATATGTCAGTTAAGCATGGACATTCTATTCACATTTTATTTTTTTAAACTAGCAGTTTTTTTTTATTCACATTTATTCAGGAAAATGATTCAAAAAATGAGCCAGTAGTCTCTGAGGAGACTGACGGTCAACAGGTGCGTACTTATAATGTAAAATCACATACTTTTGGGGGTTCAAATTTTCGTGGTTTTAGGAAAAATGCTTCGTTCAAGAGGATTTGAATTCATGGTCGAAGAAGTGTTCTGTAAATTGTGATATATATTAATTTTTTATTTTCTTGAGGATATGAAAATGGGTCACTTCATACCACGAAAACAAAGAAAAATAAAACCCATGAAGATTAGTGATTTCAAGTAATAATTTAAAAGAAAGATGTACCTTAGTATAGTCTACTTGTGTACCAAGTCTATTCAGACTAAAAACGTAGGAATAGTATTTTGAAAGAATTTCACAGAAATTTCTATTTTTGTAACCATGGCAACACCATTTGTCGTAAACAAAAACTAAAATAAGGAATTATGTTTCTTGGTATAGTCTACTTGATTTCCAAGACTTACTGAAATTGGACCAAAACTGTAGGAGGATTAGCGTTTAAAAGAATTATGTATCTTAATATATATATTTTGCTTGTGTACCAAGTCCTACAGAAATTGGACCAAAACTTGAAAAAACGTGTTATGTGGAATCATCAAAATTACATGTAGTGGGGCAAATTTTCGTGGATTGCTTAGATTTTACTGGATCGTGGAGATGTAATTTCGTGTTTTGACTTTTATCTACAAAAAGAAACATAGATTTAAAACCAAGGATGAAGGGTACCCACGAATTTCACTAATATTGAGCCACCAGGAAATCTAATGATTCCAAAGTATAGACGGACAGACAGACAGGCAGACAGGTGGACGTACAGGGAACTCCTAACTAATGCATAAGCTCTTCTAGTCTCTGACAATTAGAATCTTTACCTAAATTTGAAATTTTTAATCAGATTTCTGAATATGATAAAATTCAAGATAAAAAGATATAAACTTATATGCCATTTGTTTACCAGATAACTTATAAATCACTACATGTAATCGGTTGATTTTTTTTTTTTTTTTTTTACACTTCATTTACCTTTCTTTAAAACACATGTCAAAGATCAATAAATGATTTTCTTTTACAATGATTTGATCAATATATCTAAAATATCCTCTATTTTGAGAACTTCATGAACATATAAATCTATGTCATTTTTTTTAAAACCAAAGGTGCAAACTGAAAAAAATATTTAAAAGGTCTATAAAATGACAAGTGTTTAAATCCAGTGACCTAACAACATGTTATCATCGGGAACTAGATTGTCAGACGGTATTTAGGAAGCCGTATCGATTTTACAGGTAAGACATTATTTTAATTTTAATATCACACTTTTTGTACAACTTACCTCCTATCTAAGTTAAGAAAAACAACTTTTGTTAAAAGTGGAAATCCTTCAAAACAAACAGGAGCAAAATAATTATACATAATTATACTGTACATGTGCATAACAGACAGTGTTGGTCTCAGCATGGGGTTTTGAGATCACATTTGTATCTATTACCACTGATGATTTTTTTAAATGAAATTCTGGGTTAAGATTGGTAGAAGTCTGTCACGTGAAGGAAGTGTAATATTTACATCATGTATATATGGTCACTTGAAAATCAATATATGCTCACTGTCAATTCATAATTGTCTAATCTTTTGTAAGACTTAAAACAACTCAAGTTCCTTAGTTTTTTTCACTTGTTATTAGACAAGAGACTTGCGGAGTTTCTGTTGACAAATACAAATTTAACCAAGATCATAATGAGCACAAATTTGACCTTTTTCTCCCCATACGATTTTTTTAAAATGTCTGTAAGTTATTACTGCACGAAACACACACAAAACAATATAAAGTAGAGCACAATATGACGTCACAATAGGCACCGTATAGGAGAAATAAAGCATATAACGGGAAGAAACACTTTTACAAGCCTGAATAGAATTATGTCATTGGTGGGGTATATTCGTCACAGTTTTGTAGTGACCAAGTACGGGATGATATCTGGTTAGGAAGTAAGTTTCCTACCTGGCCAGGCAAGTAACTCAGCTATGTTAAGGACGGTAATGGGAAATGTGACCATAATACCTTTTCAATATGTATTGCATTTCATATTCACTATAAAAATAGTAACTATAAAGAACAAGGTACGGTTTCAATACAAATCTTGCCCTGTGTTTTTCTTAAAAATAAAAGTGATGTAAAAAATTAAAACTCATGCTTTTTGAATTATTGAAATTCCATGCAGAAAGATCATACAAATCTTTTTTCTCACATGACCTTCCAAATGCTAATTGTGACGTCATAAACTTGCGCATTTTCCCGTATTTTCTTAAAAAGTTGCAGAAGACATCAATTTTCAATGGAATTTTCTTTCAGATAATATTGTCCACAGGCATCGCCCACAAAGATTTTGAGATATGTGATTTTTCAAAGAATTTTACACAACATATCTAAAAATTAACGTGGGCGACGGCTGTGGACACTATTTTCTTAAGGAAAATAACCCTTGAAATGGGTCATTTTGAGGCTTTTTCTGTTTAAAATAGAGAAATGCATCAAATTAATGATGTCATATATCAAGAATGGTACTCCATCATGCTATATTCTTTCCTGACTTATTACAGTCATATACTCAACTAATATTTAAGTCAGTTTCAAAACTTTTTGAAAACATTAAATTTTCAGGGCACAATAAAGCTAAAACCATACCTTCTTCTTTGTAGAAAATGTAACATAGTTACCTGTAATGAATATGTTTACGTCGTACTTAGTATCAGTTACATGACATGTATCAGCTGTGTGTCACGTGACTGGTATAAAAATAGAATTGTTAGGCTGAATGTAGAAAATCGCGCTAGTGCAAGGGCATCCACTTGTCTTTGGCCATAAAAATTGATACACATTAAAAGAGGTTTAGATCATTTACCTGAAAAGTGCTGGGAGCTAGTTTGTGTTGGTTAGGAAGTACTCGTAATTTTGCCGATAATGCGTGTAATAGCAAAAATATTTCCACTTCGCCTCTACATTGTAATGAAAAAAAAATCTTCAGATCAGAATCAACTCCCAGCACTTTTTAGAATATAGATGATATAAGCAATATATTTTCGTATATCAGCATAAACAGTCTAGTGTATGCCCTTGCACTTTTGAGGTTAATCGGGCATGTGATTATCGTATTAGCGATATTCTTTGCATTCTCCGACGCTGTGCAGCTTTATAAGATCTTGATAAAGTAATTATATGAACAATTATGTTTAAGAAATGTTTTGTTTTCATTTTTTTATTATTAGATCTAAATATTGACGGTAATTTTGTATTTAATTAAGCATGTTTGTAATTATATAACAAATGGATCCACTCCTCTGGATCACTTGTACTGCGTCAAGTCAAGACAAATGAGGTCATATATGACATAAGATTTGTTTCTAAATACTCGGCAGTATTGTTATTATGTGGTGAGATTTTGCATTTCCTAATAAATAATAGATAAACAAATGCAGGCTACCTTTTATTTACGTATCATAATGCGGTATAATTTATTTTTGTAACTTGTTAAAATTTTAATGACGTCACAATGATACTTGCTACACGATGCCTAACAAATGTGAACTCAGACATTCCTAAACGTAGCTGAGAAAACTTCAACCTGACCATAGTAAAATTCAGCTGAATCATGGATTAACCATCTTGTAAATTTACAAATTTTAAACACTGATCTTACAAAAAAATATTCTTTGAAACATTTATAATTTCCATGACAAAAACAACGTTTTGATCTGTAAACACAAACCCGAGATAGAATTAATCTTTATTAAAAACAGGCCAGCTCTCTCAAAAGTATAAACGGATCCCTTGTTTAATTTTCTTCACATCTCAAGGACTTTCTTTCAATGAATTACATCCTTGGGAAATAGTTCTATGTCAATCACTAATTATCATGATAACTTCATATGTTTTTTTTTTTTTTTACTATAAAATATTTCAATTGTACCTGTTTATTGATATTATCATTTTAGCTTGCACAAGGGAAAAAAAAAATAAAATCCTCAAAAAAAAAATTAAACTTTACAATTTTTAATTTTTGTAGAGTTTCATCTAAACTTGGGCATGTGAGGAGATTACTATGGACCCCCTGGACAGAGCTCAAGTACTCCTCCTCTGTGACATGTGTCAAAGAGAGGCAGTACAGAGTCATTGTGAACTTTGTCACATTAATCTGTGTAAGGTCTGTGTTGGGGAGCATCTCTCCGATTCATCCCAAAGACACAAGGTTGTACACTACAAGCAAAGAAAATCTGCTTCAAACTACCCAGAATGTCCAAACCACACCCAGAACCACTGCGAACATTACTGTGAGAAATGTGACATTCCTGTTTGTTCTACGTGCATCTCCTCTGATAAACATCAATGGCATACATTTACAGATATTCTGAAAAAACTAACTTCTAAGAAAAGAGATTTAAAAGAAGACTTGAAAGAACTAAAGAAACAAATCTATCCTGCATATGAAAAAATTACATCGGATTTAAACTCTAAAAAATTAAACGTCGAAAAACATTATAAGAAACTGACTACAGCTGTCACCAA